CCGTCTCGTTTCCATTTTTTTGTCCCACTCTCTGACACCAATTTGTTACGTCTCCGTTCATTAGTTAATTTTCCGTAAATTCGTTCCGACGAAACTTTAGCGACACAAGTCCTTTCTTAAATAAAACTGGTTTATTCTTTCTGACGATAACTTTGCGATACACTTAATTTCAACAGTTGCGCTATAACAAACGTCTCACGTGCTCAACTTCAACAATACTCAATTCAGTTACACACTCTTTGACTGCAGTTCAATTACTCACTACCTCCCCGTCGCTTCGTGGCCGGTCTTATATATACAAGACTACATTATATCTAGAAAGATCACGAGATTTAAGGAAAAGACGTGAAAGTTCGAGAATGACGTGGCGTGATACTAGTCACGTGACCTCGATGTCGTAACATTATTATGTAGACGATGGTATGGGTGTGGATTTGTTGTATCTGGATTTTCAGAACGTATTTGACAAGGTGCCACATAAAATGTTTGTTGAAAAGTTATCTCTGCATGTGTGGGAAATTGTTTGGCTCCATGGTTAGAAAACTGGTTGGATGGAAAAAATAAAAGGTTGTTATAAATGGAGTTCGGTCAAACTAGATTCATGTCGCAAGTGGTGTGCTTCAGGGCTCAATGCTAGGAGCTTTGCTCTTTTTTATTTACATCACTGACATAGATTAAGGAATGCTGAATAGTTTATTTAGATTTGTTGATGATATTATAATTTTGGAATCTGCTGGCTGTGAGAAGGATGCTTCTGCTTTACAAAAGGGTTCAAATTATTTGGTGAGTTGGGCAAATAAATGGCAGATGGCTTTTACTTATAACAAATGCAAGGTAGTGCACATGGAATATCACAATTTGAATTATAGGTATAATTTTGATGGAAATAACCTTAATATTGTTATCAAAGAAAAATATATATAATATACATAATTTACACAATTATTATGAATCACTATCGTGGTTCATAATACGAACTGCACATAACCCTAATAGAACGTTTGGGTAAAAAAGCACCTTAAATAGTAAAGATTCAGTTCAAAAAACACTTAAAAACCTTTACTATTAACTGCTAAGACTGTACACTTATAAAATATACGCGTTTTACGTACATAGAAAAGAAAATCTGCTCAAAATGGCCCATTTGTAATTATTCTTATTATTATTCTCTTGCCAGCCTACAACAAAAACGGCTTACTATATTGCACCCAAACCTTTTGTAGAATAGTAAATAAGGTACTGCGAAGGTCGTATGGATATTGAGAAGTCGATTTGTTTGTTCTATATTTTACATGAGCTAAAAAAAGCATCATAATTCTAGTGTAAACGATGTTTTCATTATCCTTTCAAGTTAGCTTCCATACAAATATCTGGTGTTCCTATTAAAAAGCTTACTACAGGGTGAAACAGGAATTATCAGACAATAATAGATGAACATTAGGTGACAGTAACATATAGATACTCAATGCTTTGTACACAATACAATCGTGTATGATGTGGAGAGGGAAAACTTAACACACATAATATAAAATGTTATTACACACATTCGTAGAATAATTACTTTAAAATACACGAAGGCTTATTTAAAGCGATGTTTTAGGCGTAAATGTTTTATTTGAAAATTCTGCTTTTCTACTGGTTAATTCTTTTTCGCGCTTAGTGAGGTTTGTGTCTTAGTACCAGGGATCTAGGCATATATTTGCTCATCGCTATGCATTATATATATAGAATTTAAATACACAGAAACTATAAGTGCTCAATTTAGCTGCAGCTTAACATCTTGCATCTTGAACTAATGTGATCAAACAGTCAAGGCCCGGCATGGCCAGGTGGTTAAGGCACTCGACTCGCAATCTGAGGGTCACGGGTTCGAATCCCTGTCACACCAAACATGCTCGCCCTTTCAGCCGTGGGGGTGTTACAATGTTACGATCAATCCCACTATTCGTTGGTAAAAGAGTAGCCCAAGAGTTGGTGGTGGGTGGTGATGACTAGCTGCCTTCCCTCTAGTCTTACACTGCTAAATTTGGGACGGCTAGCGCAGATAGCCCTCGTGTAGCTTTGCGCGAAATTCAAAAACAAACAAACAAACAAACAGTCAATAACTACAGTAAACCATTGTTGCGTCATCGAGATCATGTGATTCTCACGCTCTCTCCTTTCTTGAATTATCCTGTACTTTGGCGAATGTTCTAGTTCTTACTAGATATAGGGTAGGCGGATATATATAAGAGGGGAATGTAACGTGTCTGGGTAGATAGTGAGTAACTGAACTGCAGTCACACGGTATTGTTGAAGTTAACGTTCGTTCGTTACAGTGTTGTTTTAGCGCGAGTATTGAGATTAAGTGTATCGCAGAGTTATATTCGGAAAGAATAAACCAGTTTTATTAAGTAAATACTTGTGTCGTTAAAGTTTCGTTGGAACGAAGTTACGGAAAAATCAATTAACAAACGGAGACGTAACAAATTGGTGTCAGAGAGTGGGATAGAAAAAAAAGAGAAGAAAATAGGAAACGAGAGTGGAAAAATCAAACTACAGCTCAGCAGACTTGATGGC